CATGCGATTTGGACAATTCTGTTCAGCAGTGCGAGGATGTCTCAAGCGATTCAGCCAATTCTAAAAAGCAATGCGAGGATGTCTTACGGTATTTGGCCAAGTCTATTAAGACATGCGAGGATGTCTCCAGCGATTTGGCGAATTCTAATAAGAAGTGCGAGGGTGCTCAGGCGATTTGGACAATTCTGTTAAGCAATGTGAGGATTTCTCAAGCGATTTGGTTAATTCTAAGAAGAAATGCGAGGATGTGTCAGGCGATTTGTGTCATTTTACTAAGATGTGCGAGGATGTTTCAAGCGATTTCCTCCTCTTCCTTCTCTACTCTTTGTTCTGATCCGCTTGTTTTTTTTTTCCGATGAGGCTTCTATTGAAAATCCGTTAGAGAAATGCGTTTTTTTTTTCGGCCGTCGTAGGGGGTGGCCCACCCGAGGGTATCGCCCCCGCCCCGCACCGTGGCGTTATCTTAGCACCCGGCCAACAAAAATATCCGCGCGACAGCCAGTTCGTGCTCGTCGTCGCCGTAATCGTCGGAAGACACCAATGGTATATAGTTACTCCTGACAACCATGACATGGCTGAGAGGCCCGAGGGACAACTGATGTTTCAGGCGATTTGGCACAGTTTATTAAGAAATGCGAAGATGTCTCAGGCGAGTTTGCAAATTCTATTAAGAAATGTCAGGATGGCCCATGCGATTTGGGCAGTTAGCAATGTGAGGATGTCTCAAGCGATTCAGCCAATTCTAAAAAGAAATGCGAGGATGTCTCAGGGGATTGGGCTATTTCTATTATGACATGCGAGGACGTCTCTAGCGATGTGGCCAATTCTAATAAGAAATGTGAGGGTGCTCAGGCGATTTTGACAATTCTGTTAAGCAATGTGAGGATGTCTCAAGCGATTTGGCCAATTTTACAAAGAAATGCGAGGATGTCTCAGGGGATTGGGCCGACATGTCAGGATGTCTCCAGCGATTTGGCAAATCTTAATAAGAAATGTGAGGGTGCTTAGGCGATTTGGACAATTTTGCGAAGCAATGCGAGGATGTCTCAAGCGATTTGGCCAATTCTAAGAAGAAATGCGAGTATGTCTCAGGCGATTTGTGTCATTTTACTAAGATGTGCGATGATGTTTCAAGCGATTTCCTTTTCTTCCTTCTCTACTCTTTGTTCTGATCAGTGTTTTTTTTTTTTTTTTTTTTTTTTTTTTTTTTTTTTTTTTTTTTTTTTTTTTTTTTTTTTTTTTTTTTTTTTTTTTTTTTTTTTTTTTTTTTTTTTTTTTTCCCCGATGAGGTTTCCATTGAAAATGCTTTAGAGAAATGCGTTTTTTTTTTTTTTTCGGCCGTCGTAGGGGGTGGCCCACCCGAGGGCATCGCCCCCACCCCCCACCGTGGCGTTATCTTAGCACCCGGCCAAAACAAGAATATCCGCGCGACAGCCAGGTCGTGCTCGTCGTCGCCGTAATCGTCGGAAGACACCAATGGTAGACAGTTACTCCTGACAACCATACATGGCTGAGAGGCCCAAGGAACAACTGATGTTTCAGGCGATTTGGCAAATGTATTAAGAAATGCGAGGACGTCTCGGGCGAGTTTGCCAATTCTACTAAGAAATGCGAGGATGTCTTAGGCGGCGTGGCCAATTCTACAAAACATATAAGGCGCCACTGTTTCTTTCTGAGTACCTGGACTCCTGCCGGGCTTGCTTCGCCAGAGCCTGAAGCACTTTCTGTTTCCTAACCTCTGACTTTAAGAGCTGCGTCTTCTTGGCCTTCTTGTTACCAACCTTAGGCACCGCGGTCATGCTGCACGCCTGCCCCGCGGAGTAGCCCTCAGACCTCAGGTTCCTGACTGCCGTGATGACACCTTTCCTCGCCAAAGCTCTCTCCTCAGCCTTCTGTTCCCGTCCCTTTTGCCTCGTCCGCTGCCTGACTGGGTCGGGCTTCTGACTTGCGAGGTATCGATCGAGTCCTAAATATTTCCTCCTCTGCGCTGGTGTCCTGAGCAGCGCCTTTGCTTCCTCTATGCCTTCTCCTCCTATGTCTTGGGTTATGCGGTGCTGTGGTTCGGCTGCGCGGTGCCCTGTGGTGCATAGTTGCGTGGCACGGTGCGTCAATTACGCGCCGCCCCGTTGATTCCTTTGAATATTTTACAGCGCCGTATGATCTCCGTAATTCGATGCAGCACGGCACACAGTACGAACGCGCAACGCATAAAATGATTACACAATACAACGCCCACGCGCTCATCAAGCCCACGGCCCATTTCTCACTACACACTGGCCGATCGCGCCCACTCCTTCCTACTTTGTTTGAACCAGCTTGTTTAGTTACAACGCAGTCTTGTTCAGGGGCAGCACCTTTCTAGTGCTTCCACACCGCGAGCATTCGTAAGCACTTGCACGTTTGTGTGCAGTGTCACGCCTCTTTCGGCTTTCCGTTCTGTCAACTCGCTAGCAAAGGTTGCCAATCGCTCACAGCATCAACATCAGCAGTCCGTAGCCATGCACGCTCAAGCCATTTTGACCGAAAGCCGCTCCCGCTGAAGAGCAGGCTCGACCAAGGCGACCATTCCAACTTATTCCTTGCCGCTTACCCAGGGCGGTGCATTCCGGAGCCTTTCGGGCGCTGGTCGCAGCCGAGTGCTTACTGCTCCCGCCCGGGAAGGAACTACAGACTGGGCAGGACTTGTCCGAAGAGTACTTGAACATCTTTCACAGCGGCTCTTCCGCCTCCGGCGCCCACCTGGAGTAGTTATCCGTGAGGGTTTCGCCCCCTCTCTACCAGAGTGGGAAAAATCAGGGACGCGTCGGTGTGTCTGGGCGCTCTGTCTTGGATCATCTGGGAACATCATGCGGGGGCAGATAGCAATCAGCATCACGTATTGAGACGTTTGCGTCATTATGGAACACGTCGTTGCCTGCATTGTGGGTGTGACGCCTCTTGTAGATGTGTTGGAGTGTCGTGGGCAGCCTCCCAGGGCCTCTTGGACGCAGTTTGGGGGGCTTCATAAGGGGCAGTCTTGGGGCCCCTTGGGCCTCTCTGGGGTTTCCTGGTGGTCTCTTGGAGCCTCTTGGGGGCCTCTTGGGCTTCTGGGGCTTCTTCGGGCGGAGGGATCGACATCTCGGCTCGGGCCCCCCCCCCCTCTTGGGGCCGTTTTGGGGTTGTTTTTGGAGCCGTCTGGGGCCGAATTGAAGCCCTCGTGGGCCGTCTTGGAGTGCTTTGGGGGGCTTCTTGGGCGGCCTTGGAACGATGCAAGTGGCTTACGCCATCCCGCCGCCCCCCAGGAGTGAGAGCCTGCGACGATCGTGGAAGTCATGTACTAGCCTTCGGCCCACCCCGCCACCGTGCTGGGGCGGTGGGTCAGAGGCCTCTTGAGTGTTCGTTGGGATATCGTGGTAATTAAGCTTCTCGGGGGCTTCTTAGAGCAAGTTTTGAAGCTTCTTGGGGGCCGTTTCGGGTCCTCTTTTGGGGCTCTTGGAGCGCTCTTGGTGCTTCTTGGGGGTCTCTAAGGAGCTTCTTGGGGCATCTTGGGGCTCTCTTGGGGCCTTTCTTTGGGGCCTTCTCTGGGCGGGAAGCTCAAATTGTCGGTTCGTGGTCCCCCTCTTGGGCCCTTCTCGGGACCGTGTTGGGGCCTTCTTGGGTTGTTTGGCTGCTTCTTGGACCGTCTTGGGGCCCTCTCGGGCCATCCCTGGGGCGTCTTGGAAGCTTTTCGGGCTGGTTTGGGGCGATCGTGGGAGCCTCTTGGGCTGGTTTGGAGCGTCGGAAAACCGAAAAAGAGATAAGTCAAAAAACAGTCAAAAGCAACATTTACAGGAAAATCATTGATTTTTGCTTCTCGGGGTCCTCTTGGGAGACTTCTTGGGGCGTCTTGGAGGCCTCTTGGGCCGTCCGGAGGTCATCTTGGGCGTCTTGGAGCGAGCTTTCGGCCACTCGGGGCCCTCTTGGTGCGTCTTGAGGGCCTGTTGGGTCTCTCTTGCCCGTCTTGGGGGCTTTTTGGAGATTCCGGGGGGCCCCGGAGTGCGTCGGGGAGCTCGTGCCCCTCCCCCCCCCTCCCCGCCCTTAGAATGAGATTTTGGACCCCAGGGGAGGGGGGGATGGGGAGGGGGATAGTTAATTATTTCACACGCCTTTGCAGCCCCGGCAAGCGGGGGTCGGTGGATCATTGAATTTTCCCCGACGCGATCCGAAGCCGAATCGATTCGGAAGCAAATGACAATTTAATTCATTACTGATTAAGCCTTTCCACTGTTTTTTGTTTCTTCGGCATCAGTCACTGGGGCGTATTGGGGCATCTTGGGGCCTCTTCGGTGCATCCTGGAGCCGTGGGCGATCGTTGGGCCGCCTTGGGCTGGTATTGGAAAATGTTTCAGTTGTTTTAGGGCGGTCTTTGGCCTTCGCGCAGCCGTTTAGAGGCCGAAAAGAACGTCAGAGGGCAAAGGTAGGGGGTGGTATTCTACCCATGCCCGCGGGCACTGAGGGGCGCGCTCCTTGAAAATTACAGAAACCCTACCAGACAATCAACAATCATTCTAACATTCCACTGCAAACAACGGTGGGGGATTTTATCAAAGGGAATATTGGGGCATCTTCGGGGCCAATCGGGGCCTTGTTGGGCAATCTTGGGCGACGTCGGTGGCGTCTGAGGGCCTCTGGAGGCCGCCTTGGGCCCATCTTGGAGCTATATGGGGGCGCCTGGGGGGGTGCCTGGAAGCCATATTGGGACGTCTTGGAAGTCAATCCGTCTACAACCAGAACACGCCGACAACTTAATGTTTCCCCGTGATATTTTGCCTTTTCGGAACGTCTTTGGGCCCTTTTGGCAGGTGATTGGGGCCCTCTTGGACCGTGCCTTGAGGCCACCTTGGGCCGTCTTGGGCTCAAAGTTTCTTTCGGCTTCGCTGCCGCGCCCGAATCCGACAAGGCGTTTCTCTTGGCCCTTTAGCCCGAGCGCGATGGCCCGGCAGCGCAGGGTCGCCCTCATCGTGGCTGCGGTGGCAGCCACCATGCTGCGCAGCACGGTCTTCGTGCCGGCGCCGGCGGGGAAGCCCGGCGCGCCCGCGGCAGCGTGCGCGGCGGCCGTGTTGGGCGCCGCCGGGAACGCCCACGCGGACGCGATCGGAGATGCCGCTGCCAAGCTCTCGAAGGCGGCATGCCCTTTCATGAAGGAGGTGCCGTGGAATTCGGGTTCGTACAATTTGCCAGCCGGGTCTGCGGACCCGATCGGCTACACGAAGGCCATCGCCAAGATGATCGATATGGGCGCTCATATGGATTCCAAGCTGCTGAAGGCGGGCGCTGAGGCCCACGCCTCGGCCATCTCGGGCCTGTCAGCCAGCGGCGTGTGATCGGAGGCCCAGCTGATGGCAATCAACGCCGCGCTCGGGCGCATGATCGCGCCCGTGCCCGAGTCCACGACCATGGGCGTGTACAGCGCCGTCGGGGGCCTGATGGACCCGAAGGTTCCAGCGTGCCCGATGTCGACGGTGAAGGAGTCCGACGCGAGGGCGGCCTACAACGCCTTCATCGATTTTACCCAGGTAGTGAAGGCTAACCCCATCACTCCGTCTGCTCCTACGTCCTCTGTGTCCGGCAGCGCGGCGAGCTCCATCGCGGCGGCCGCGGACGAGCTGTCTGCCGCCGCCTACCCTTTCGTCGAGGATATCGACTGGACCTCGGACTTGTATTCGAAACCCACCCTGGGAGCTGATCCGCAGAAGGTCGCCAAGGCCATCGGCAATATGATCACGATGGGCGCGGCCATGGATGGCGCCTCCCTGAAGGAGGCCGATATCGCGCATGTGAAGGCCATCGGGGGCATGGACGCGAAGGGCGTGCTGTTGCAGTCAGATTTCGCGCCCATTAATGCGGGCCTCGGGAAGGCGGTCGCATCGGTGCCGACCAGCAAGGTGATGGACGTTTACAACTCGATGGCCCAGGGGGTCGGGAGCCCCGGTGTTCCCAACAAGCTGTCCTCCACAGAGAACCCGGCTGATGCTCAGGCGGCGCGCGGCGCGCTCCTGGAGTTCAAGGATGTGGCGAAGGCCGCGCAGCGCTGACGACTGCGAGCAGTGGACGCAGCTTGTTTTTTGATGCATTTGTTGTCCCAACAATGCGGTTCAGAGCAGGCGGGATGTATTTGCGACGGATGGATGATGGGAACAAATTCTTGACGCTTCGCGCATCCCCGCCAGCCCATCCAGAAACGATTACCAGGTGAGTCGGTGACTTTCGGGATGCAATGTTGTGAGGGGTTCCTGTAAGCTTAGAGCATCTTGGGGTAATATTGGGGCTCTCCTGGGGTACTCTTAGGTTCTTATTGGGGCTCTCTTGGGGCTCTTTTGGATGGTATTGGGGGCCTATTGGGGCTCTTCGGGGGGGGTCTGGGAGGCCGCTTGGGGCCGTCGTGGGCCCCATCGCTCAAAAATGGGGGCGGTGCTTAGTCGGACCCCGCGATTGGGCCTTCTTGGGGCTCGCTTGGGGCTCTCTTGGGTCTTGGTGCCCTCTTGGGGCTCTTCGGGGGGGTCTGGGAGGCTTCTTGGGGCCGTCGTGGGCTCCATCGTTCAAAAAAAGGGGCGGCGATTATTCGGACCCCCCACTTAGGGTCTTCTTGGGGCTCTCTTGGGTTCTTGGGGTCCTCTTGGGCCCCTCTTGGGGCTCTCTTGGGCCGTCTTGGGGTCATTTTGAGGCTTCAAGAGCCGACCGGAGGCGAAACGGCGAGAAGGCATACAACAGTGATTTTCCTCCGGCTTTTTCAATGGTTTTAGCTTCTTGGGGGCGTACTTCGAGAGCTCGGAGGGCGCGTGGAACCGTGTCGGGGCCATCTTGAGGCGTCTTGGATGCGTGTCGGAGGCTATGTTGAACCATATTGAGATATGTTGGGCCATCTTGGGGGCCATCTTGGGCTCTCTGAGTCCCTCTTGGACCCATCCTGGGCCGAAAAGGGCGCTCTGCCACCTCGCCCCCCCGCCCCCCCCAGGTCCAGGGGAGGGGGTAGGGGGGGGGTAAACCCCTCCCCCGAGCAGGGGAAGGAGGAGGTTTTGGCAGAGAGACACAGTTCCTTAAACCACCTACGCCGAGAGGGCTGGTGGGATTAGGGGCCCTCGGCTCGTCCCGCCACCGAGCCTGGGTTGTGGGCCAGAGGCATCTTCGATGCCTGTTGGGGTCTCTCGGGATGCCGGGGGCCTCTTGGATATCTCCTGAGGGCTTCTTGGGGCCTCCTGGGGTCCTCTTAGGGGTTTCTTGGAGGCCCCTTGGGGGCTCTTGGGGGCATGCTGGGGCTCTTGGGGGGGGCCCGGAGGGAAAGGCTCCCAGTGCCCCTTCGTTTCCCCCCTCTGGGCCCCTCTTGGGCCCGTCTTGGGAGCCTCCTGGGCTGTCTTGGGGTCTTCCAGGGCCGTCTGGAGGCCATCCTGCTGGCAGTGTCCGCAGGAGCCTTTGGGAGCTCTTGCGGACAGCCTGGTGGCTGGACAGCCCGTGACGGGGCCCAGTCCACCGGGCAGCTCTCCGCTCGGACAGCCCTTGGCTGGATTCCGGGCGCCCACGCGCACGCTTCGCTCGGTTGGCCCTTGTCGGGATTCCGGGCGCGGCCTCCCTGGCAGCTGGGTGGCCCGTGACGGGATCCCCTGGCAGGACCTTTCCCCTCTTGCCCGTTCTCGCGCCGCTACCCCTGGTAACGCTCCTGCGCCGCTCAGGTGTGGATCCACCCCGGTTCGCCGGGGATTATTGTATTGTCCTTCCTTGCGCTTCTCTCGCAGAGGACGCCCCTGTACTTTGTTCAGGTTGCAACTGCGGAGTCGACTGTTTTTTTTTTTTTTTTTGCGCATATGGACCCTGACTTGAGGGGGCAGTCCAGTATGCGCGTGCCTGGATGTTGATGCGTGCAGACAGTGATAGAGCCTACGGGGCTCTTGACCTTGGTGTGACCCCTGGACAGACGGGCTCTGGACATACTGGAGCGGTGGGAGTTCCGGACACATCACTTCGAACAGGAAGGAGGCGCAGGCAGTCGAACTTGCCAGTACCCCGTGTACTGACGGAGTTGTTGACTTGCACCCCTTGAACCCCTGTGTACATCGCTGCACAGCGTCACCCTTGGGTCACGAGGAATGCATTTCATAATAACTCTTCACATGAGTATGATGGACACAGGGAGCTCTGGACATCGGTATGTGTTGGGGCCCTTGGGCAGTCAGGAGATGACAGGGGCCCGCGGCGCACGGCAGTAATGTGTACACGCGTTTTTTTGGCATATGGCAGCGCAGGCTGTTGGTTTTGCCGTGAACTCGGGCACGCGGCAAGTAATGGCTTGCACCCCTGCCTCCGTTCTAGCAAATCCTCCCCCTGAATCCTGCGGCAGGAAGTCGTCTGAACGTGTTCTCCCCTGGCTGAGCCCTTTTCCCGGCTACTGGTTTACGTTCGTGCCTTCACTTTCGCCGGGCTTGCATTTTGCATTGCGGATCCAACGTTTTGCCTATATTGCGCATCTCTCTGGGTTTCGTTGTTTAATTTCGCCCTCGCGCCCGGCATGGCGAGTATGCTGGTCAACTTGTCGTGCCTCCCGCCCCCGCGTTTTCATTGCCTGCGCCGGCGCGGCCTTCGATGTTGACTTGTCCATCGAGGGGCTGCTGTGGAACGGACCATTGTACGGCGTAGCGATCGATCTTGCGCGCCCGTTAACGAAAAAAAAGACCCTTTTGGCGCGTCTTGGTGCCTTCTTGGTCCATCTCAGGAGCCGCATTGCATTTGGAAAAACCATTCGAAGCGACCGAGGCGCGCGGCAGCGCCCAAGAGATCTTGGAATTTGGCCCCAGAGCGCAGAGAACAGAAAGTTGTTCAGTAGGGGGAGCGTTTTTTTGTCGAGTGTTCGTTGTCGAGTGCTTCGCCGCCGTTTTTTTGTCGAGTGCTGCCGCCTCCTCCCTCCGCGCAAGGGAGAACGCGCCGACCTCTTGCGTGTAGGGGGAGTGCGCCGACCTCTGGCGTTGTGGTGTTACGACCCCTGAAACAACTTCCTGGGTCCCTGGGTTCAACATGGATTCGTCCTTCGACCCCGTCCTTCGACCCCGTCCTCGACCCCCATGGGGGTTCTCCTCGTCCTTCGATCCTGGGGCCACCACGAACGACCCCCCCCCCTGGGGGCGACCTTCAAGGCGAACGCTCACCTCCAGGGCGAACGCCCGCCTCGGGGGTGCCGACTTCGCGCGCGTGGGTCACGGAGGGCTTCTGAGGCTCGCTTTGGAGGTGTCGGGTTCCGTCCCGGCACTTCCTCAATGCCCCAAGAGGGCCCCGCGATGGCTCCGAGAAAAGTTCCATGAGGCCCCCAGAGGGCCCCGTCAGAACATGCGCAAACATCGCGTCGCAGGTGTCATGTGCGTCTCCTTGGGCCCGCATTGGAGCCCTCTGGGCCCCCATGCCCCGTGCCCTGCGAGAGCTGGAAGAGAGAGAGAGAGAGAGAGATAGAGAGAGAGAGAGAGAGAGAGAGAGATTAAAAAAATGGAGAGAAAGAGAGAGAGAGAGAGAGAGAGAGAGAGAGAGAGAGAGAGAAGAGAGAGAGAGAGAGAGAGAGAGAGAGAAAAAAGAGAGAGAGAGAGAGAGAGGAAAAAAAAGAGAGCCAATAACTTCAAGGCTTGGCGTCGAGATTTCAAAAGTGCCCCGCGAAGGCTCCAATATGTTTCCGAGATGGAGCGTATTCATGTTGGTTCAAGCCGCTCCTGTTTGAACGGCGATCCTGCACACTTACTTGCGTTTTAGCACGCACGCGTGCCTCCAGCTTCCTCTCTTCCCAGGGGCAGCCGCGAGAGACATGGGGCGTCCGTCGATCGTCGTCCTGGCGGCCCTCATCCTCGCCGCCTGGCCCGCCGCATGTGTCGAGATTATGTTCGAGGCGACGCCGAGCCCGACGTGCGAGACTTCGACGCACGCAATTTCCTCACGCTTCGCGCATCCCCACCAGCCCATCCCAAAGCAGCCGCCAGGCGAGTTGCCTTGATAAGGGAGGCGCAGCAGCAAGCAATCCAAAAGTGAGCCACATCCGTTTTGGAGGCCCCTTGGGGTCGTCTCAGGCCGTCTTGGGCCATCCTGGGGCTATCTTGGGCCGTCTTGGATGCACCTTTGGCCGCCTTGGAGACATATTGGGGCCATCTTGGGCTCTCTTGGGGCCATCTTGGCCGTCTTGGAGGCCATCTTGGGCGTCCTGGAGGCCACTTGAGCCGTCTTTGGGCCCTCTTAGGGCCGTCTTGGGGGCCTCTGGGGCCGTCTTGGGGCCATATTGGGGCCTCTTGGGGCGCTCTTGGGGGCCTCTTGGGAGCCCTGGAGGGCCTCCTGGGGGCCATCTTGGAGGTGGTCGGTCAAACGAGGGGGGGGTCCACCGTCTGGCCCCCCCCTCGGGGGCCACGATCCCTGTGAGGGGTGTCCACAAATAGCCTTCCGAAGCAGCGAAAAAGGACCCTCTAACCGATCGCGGCCGCTCCCGCCCAGGTCCAGGGGAGGGGGTTAGGGGGAGGGGTAAACCCCTCCCCGAAGGGGAAGAGGGATTGTGGGAAGTCGTTGGAAGAGGGAAGAAGAATCTCCCTAGACCACCTGTCGCCCAAAGGGCTGGTGGGATTACATGGGTAAAGGGTAGCTATTCAGGCGCACCGACCATTCATGCAACATACGCCGGACCCAGCGGGATCCCTGCATGGGTTCAACATGGATTTATGCCTCTATCCAGCTGACCTGGTTGGTACACACTTGGAGGGTCGTGCCGATTGGTGCTACGGCACTCATAATCTTGCCATGCGCATTATGAGGCGCAACGACAACGACGAGTACATCACAACCGGCACATGTTGCAGCTCTCACGAGGACAACCAAGTGACCGATGTCACGTCTCAGTGCGCAGACCCGACGCCGAGCCCTACCATGCCCAGTCCAACGCCGAGCCCGACGCCGAGTCCGACGTGCGAGACTTCGACGTACACAATTACATGGGTAAAGGTAGCTATTCAGGCGCACCGACCATTCATACAACATACACCGGACCCAGCGGGATCCCTGGGTTCAACATGGATTTATGCCTCTA